TTTTTTTTTTTTTTTTTGGTAAAAAATTCCATTTTGCTCTTTTACTCATTTATTTATTTATTTCTTGGTCATTTTCATCCTTTTTCTTTTATATAGTTTCAAAACAAGTACACTGCATAATATGATTTACCAATGCGTTATGTATCTCTATGGGCAAAGAGTTTTTTTGGTCCCATAACTGATTTTATATTTTTATGGTAAATTACAATTTTAGTCTTACTTTAAGTTTTCCGTTCTTTTTTAATGGTGTTTTTTATTTTTATCCTGTGTGTTTGAAAAAATGTTACAAAAAGATCCTTTTTCATAGATAATGGACGTGTTGAGAGAAGATGACAATATAGCATACGAATTAAAAAACGAGAAAGTAAACAACACAAGATTTACGTGGTTCGGCAATGTGCCTACGTCCACGGTGGCTGGGGGATCTTTTTTATTATTCTCAATAATGTCAAATACATCAATACACCATGTATTTATACTAAAACCCTACAATGTGCCTCCTTCCTTTGTCAATATATGAGCCATATCAACAGGACGAAATGGGAATACTTTATACAGGACCAAAAAAAAAAAAAAAAGAATCTAAGAGGACGAAAAAGTTAAATTACTCAAACATACAAGATTAAAATTGTAATTTACTCTATTTTTTTTTTATTTTGGTTCCCTAAAGGGTCCAATTTTAGATTTGGTCATTTAAGTGGAAATAAAATGGCGTTTTGTTTACATGACCACCTGCAGCATGTAATTGTCATTGAATGAAAATTTAAAATTGGTCTGTTTAGGAAAATCAAAATCAGAAACAAGGTAAGTGCCTCTTTATTTATGAGGATTTTTTTTTATTTTTTCTCTCTCTCTCTCTCTCTTTGTAGATGTTGTAATAAAATTAATATTACATGTAGAAAGAGAGAATATATATTGTGGAATCCTTAGATAAAAGGATGTGTTTTAATGTAAATGGATGTGTTTCTTGTAAATGTCTCAATTCATTAAAAAGCATAACCGAGCATTATGTTTTGGTCGGTTTTGAAATGTGAGATGAAAAGTGAGATGAAATTAAAGTTTCATTACTCTTGTATTAATGAAAGCATTAAGGCATCTCTCATGCATTCAATGGAGATGAATTTGAAGCACTATATATATAGTGCATGGGAGACATACGAGAACACATCAAGTGAAAGAAGAAAAAGAAAGGAATACTTTATATAAATACTCTCTTTCATCTCCCACAAGAAGTCCAAAAAAAAATTAAGGGTTCTTGGCGATTGAGCTTCTGATCGAGGTGAGTGTGTTAG